GTATCGATTCATTTGATTTTGAAAAATTACATTTATTATTTTTATGTCTGGGTACCGATTAATAAAGAACTGATTAAAGCCGTTCAAAATTCTTATTCTTTTTATAAAAAAGAACTGGCGATTGTGAAAGCAGCTGCAGAACGGATTGAAAAGGAGAGAGAAGAACGAGACAATGCTGATGAGGTATACAAACAAGTGTTAAAACAAGAGGAAGACTTGCTAATGAAGCAAAAAGATTTGCAACGGCAACAACAAGAAGCGAATTTAATAATCACTGATGGCAGTTCCTGATTACAACTGGCAATTAAAAAAAAAGATTGTCTCGATGTTGATAGAGCTACAATTTTAATTGATGGTGGCAACAATCGAAGTAAAGTTATTTGTAATGAACTATTGAAAGTTACAGAGGACTTAATTAATATTCAAAAGAAAAGAAAAGATACATTTGCTAAACAACAACAACAAAAGAAACAGAGAATTGCAATTGATTTAGCTAACCATGAGTCTTAATTAAAATAGATTTTTTTCTTATGGTTCATTTATATTTTTGTATATAATTGTTTATACAGTTTTCGAATGTATTATGTCAATAACTATGAAACACAGATAAAACAAGTTGTTTATAAAAATAAATTCAACTGTTTTGTGATATATGTTTTTGTTTTTTATATTTTATATTTTTTGTAAAGATATTAATCAACAAGTGTTAATAAATCGAACAGATACATTATCTTGTTTTAATTCTTTTTTGGATCGAACTTTGTTGCATGATTTTTTAGAAACTGGAAGAATTATTGGTTGCGATTTCTCTTCACCTCACACTAAGCATTTTTTATTATGTTAAAGGCACTTTGATGCATGACAAATACTTTAAAAGGTTTCCTATTGAAAACAAATCGTCCTATATATTTCCTATATTTTTATAACAATCCTATAAAAATGCTGCTTTTAAAATCCTATATTTTCCTATACACTCGGAAGTCATCGCTACGAGGCCTGTTGATGATAAAGAAATAAAAGTTTCCTTTTCGTTCTATGAATTTAGGTTGTTTTATGAACACGTCAACTAATCTACATTCTTTATGGGATACAGGTATATTGTCATTTCGTCTACGCAATACATTTCAATCGAATATTAATTCCTATTATGATTATCTTTATTTGAAAATGTTAAATCAAACTGTAGAAATGAATGATGATACTTTTCTGCAATGGGTTGCTGAAAGTATAGATATTGTTTGTAAACAAGTTTATTTCGATGAAACGAACATGCTAATGAATTCAACGAGTACTTTCAACTTGAGCCATGTATATTATGAACGAAATTGGCCTGTTGTCGAAAAACGTCTTATTCAAACAGGTTCTCGCTTGGGTGCTTTGCTTAATCAAATCTTAAAAAAGCATACCGAGTCAACAACACTAACACCACCATCACCACGAACAACAACAAATGAGAGTTGTCAGAATTCAGCTTTTTCATCACCATTCTCTATTTTGATCTTGTTATTAGTCGTATCGGTGTTGTCGTATTTATTCAATGAAAAAATATGGTACGATGACGTTTTAAATTTGTACTTTGAAATAAAGTTGGATGCTTCAATTTCATGTCTACTTGACATTGAAAATACAAATTCATTAAGCAGATCAAATTATATGGCTCGAAACGAGAATCAGGCTCGGCTTCATTTTATGCAGAGTAGAACAGACTATTCGATCTCTTCGTCCAAGTATACGGAAGATATCGAAAGAAAACAATATCCTAAGAATATAGATTACTTTTTGTTTTTCATTAATGTTTTTCGTTTTCATTATCATGTGTCGATGAACATTTTGATAATGTATTGAAAACTTGTATACTTTTTAATAGTAGTATGCTTAATCGA